ACCCAGACCTGACCTGTGCAGAGCGGGACCCCTGCTGGGAGGGTGCTGATCTCTGCATCAACAAAGTGACCCAGGTGCAAACAACTTAAAGACTATGTAACAGTAGCTCAGACACAGAGTCCCAGCCACCGTGAGAATGAGCAGCATGGACCTCAGCCGAGAGGACCAGAGGGACCAGGCCCGTTGTATCCTGAGGACTCCCTCTCAGGCCCAGTCCTGGTCCTGGGGACTCCACTGACCGGGCACTGCCGGCGGGTGACCCATTTCTGCTCGTGACTCTGGCCCAATGCTCCCTGACCTGCATGACTTCACCGCCCTCCTGTGGCCTTCCTGCGGTCAGGGTGACTTGCCCCTGGCCCGTACCTGCACCTCTCCATTCGTTCTAGCAGCTGTGCCCCACGAGAAGATGCATGCACACCTCTGCTTCCGGGGAACCCGGAGTCACCCAGTAGTGTCTCCATGGCAACCCCCATTCTGAATGCTTCCCACCCCTCACCTCACAGCACTTCCCAGCTGCCATGATTGGCTGGGGGCACAGGAAGAAGCCCAAGGTGCAGAGAGGTTCAGAGACCAGCACAAGGTCACACAACAGGTGGACAGCAGAGGAGCTTGGAATCAAACCCAGAGGGTCTGATTCCAAGTCCAAGACCCCAAGTGTTTGTCAATAGGCAATAAATCACCTGAACGTGAACGAAAATGCAGGACTGCTTGCTCATCTTACCAGGTTTAAACACACCTAGGGTTTCCTGAGGGCCCCTAAAGTTATGAGGTATACTGCTTGAACTAACATTTGCAGTTAATGATTGCCTCGCCCTGAAGTTGGGCACTTTAAGCCATAACCCACTCACTTTGTCAAACGTAGGGTATTAGGAAATGATGATTAATCACCACAGTAGATTTATAACTAAAAAGAATGGAAACTATCTAAAAAGCGTTAAACTTAATATAGAATTTAAATCACAGGTGAATATCAATAAATCATTAATCAATTTCATAATAGTACCGTCCTGTATGGGGTAAAACATGGAAGACTCACAAAAAGCCTGTACATGTACCCAAATTTATGCCCACTTTGCTCACCGGCTCGGATCTTCTACAGGGCGGCCCTGTGTCTCAGACCCTGACAGGTAGCGCCCGCTCCACTCACCTGCAGCTGGTTGAACATCCGTCCATTTCCGCTTCCCTGGAAAAGGCTGAACGTCTTCAGCAATGTTTCTGATAAAGTTTTTAACTTGTCCACAAAATAAAAAGTGTAATTAGCCTGCAAAAGAAGAGCACATTCGGATGAGTCTCTGTTTACTTGCTGCATTAGGGTGACTCTTCAGTCCGGTAGCATCTCCAAGACCCACAAGCATCACATGTGACTCGTCATCAGAGCACAGACCTGCGATCGTCCCTTCAGGCTGGACGGCGACTCACGCACAGCCGCACTCCTCCAGTGCCCGCCCCCCCCGAGGGAGGCCCCCACGCAAGCCTCCCTGTGGGCGGGGCGTGCGTCTCCCCTGCGTCCTCACCGAGGCAGCAGCATTGGTCTGCGTTCCCTCCTCCAAAAACGTCCTCCACTTGTACCTGTGCGTCTGTTCTACAGCAGCCAATGCCAGAGAGGACAGAGGAAGCCTGGAGTGTCTATTCCTCTCTTGCTGCTGGCAGAGTACCCTGCTGCAAGACTTTCGCATAATGATTTGATATCATAAAATACGCGCAGTCACAGACCCATAAAACTGCACATGCCTCTCTCTCTTCCGTTCTGTCCTACGGAAATAACCTCAGTGAAACATGAACCTATAGCCGTGAGGATGGCAATGACAACATTATTATATTTAATATGGAACAGAGGCTCACTGTCAAGGAGACAGTGAGGAGGAGGGCCTGAGGCCCCAGCCGTATCTCCTGGGGTCACCAGGGGCCCTCTTGGTGATGCACGTGCTGGAGACAGCCACTAGGCAAGTAGAGCAGAGCTCTAAGCCCCCAGTGTTGGCCTTCCAGGAAAACAGGGGTGGAACGACTGTGACTGTAAAGATACTGAGCATGTACAACATGCTCAGTAGGCAGTAGACCCCACCATGCTGGTCAGAACGTGCACACGGGACACGCGGTGGCTGGAGACCATTATTAATGCAAACAACTTAGAAGATTTATAAAGACTTCACAAACATTTATGTGTGTGAACAGATATAGGTGCACATGGCAGGTTACTAAAACTTAAACTATCCTAATTTATTTTATATGTGCACACCCCTACTACTCAAATACCCTAAAGAAATTCACTAAAACTGATGTGCTGGACAAATATCAGTAAAATATCAAAACTTATCAACTACTTAATTTTTTAATAAAAGTTTGTGTAAAAATTTTTAAGAAAGTGAAATTTTAAAACATTATTACAAATAACTTTAATTTCAGCAACAAATTCAGGAAATGACTGTACAAGAAAAAGTAATGATAACATTAGCTACCAAAATATATTATTTATAACCAAAATTCACACTCAAGTAGGTTTGTGGTTAAATTAAAAAGTAAAAACTAATCAAATAAAAATGTACTTAACATATCAAGAAAAGACTAATACAGAAAAACCTAAGGACACCGGAAAGAAGACATTAGTCAAGATCAATTTTGAAAATAAATGATTTGGAGAAAAAAACAAACAACAAATGCATGAGATATTCCTCTAAATAAATATCAAAATATATAAATATCTAAGAAGTCCAACTTTCAATTATTTAATACTTACCAAACTGTGAGAATGTATATAAATCATTCAATATAAAATATGAAATCACTGAATATGAACTCAATGTCAATAAATATAATAAAGGAACAAAAGATAATAATAATAAGCATTTCAAAATAAAGCATTAAATGTAATAAAATGATGTAATAATATTAGAAGCCAAAGCTACCAAAAGTAAAAAAAGTCCTATAGGATATAACATATACCATTTATGACTGAGATTTTAAATCTCAGTGAAATGTACTTTAAGAACAAACGAATCAGCAAGAGGCTGCCCCAAACCCCCACACAAGCACAAGCCCGAGCCATGGCGACTGACCCATTCTCCTCAGCATCCCCAAAGGGAGGTCATCAAATGTGCATGCTTTTAACAGAAACCCGGGCCAGGGGGAGGTGGCTGATTCCAGTCTGACATAGGAGGCAGAGGCCAGGAGCCTTGGGACACCACTGTACCACACAAGCAGCCGTCAAAGGCCCTGGGGTCGCTTCGGAAGGACCTGGGAAAGGGCTTCCCACCACGACATGATAAGCCCCTTTCTTGCTACTCCCGTCCTGTGAGAACCACTGGACACCTTGGAACTGGTGCAGGAGGCCCCTAGAGAGAGGGGACCCGGCAGGAGCAGCACAGCAGGAGGAGCCTCCCCACCTCCACCCACCCCAGGAAGCTGACCAGACACACACTTCCCAAGCAACCACCCAGCAACAGAGGGCGGTACCCTGGGCTCTGGGATCCCTGCTCTCTGACAACACCAGGCCGGCCCACAGCCCCAAGGAGCACCTGGTGGAAACAGGCAGCCGGGAATGACTCCGCCCACTGGCAGGTGGGAAGAAGACCCAGGGACAGCCCTGCACGCAGGCCCTACCACAACAAGCTCAGCCCAGACGCTGAGCAGACAGAAGCCAGGAGTCCCCTGCCACAAGTGGCCCAGCTGGAAAACCGTGCTGCCTCTACAGCAGGACTTACAGCATGATAAGATCCTGGCCTGCCCAGTCCTCCTCTTCTGCAATGCCCAAGACTCCAGCCTCCATGGAGGGGCCTGACACTGCGCATGGAGAAGACTGACCGGCCCCTCCTAGGAGCTCCACCCGAGACTACCAGGAACTCCAGCAGCACCAGGTAAACCAAGCAGACTGAAGCGGCACCACAAAGGCTGTGGAAATTAAACCATCAGCGGAGAAACAGCCTACAAAGTAGGCCAAGAGCCCTGTGTTAAGTCTAAGCAGGACGACTGGCTGCAGCAATAAAAGATAAAAGGGCTGTAACTTCCTAATGTCATAGCCAAGATGTGCAGATCACAAGTGAAAAAGCAGCCACTGCACAAAGAACCAGAGAAAACACCGCTGTATAAGAAAAGCAACCAAGACCATTATTGGGATAAATTAGATGTTGGAATGATCTGAATAGTGTTACAAGGCAGTCACCATAACAGTGTTTCAACAAGCAATCATCAATTGTCTTGAAACAAATAAGATAACAGAAGACTCTCAATAAAGGAAAAGAAGTTGGACGTTGGGATGTAGCTCAACAGTAGAGCATGTGCTTAGCATGTAAAAGACCCTGGTTCCATCCCCAGCAAACATTTTTAAGAACTACATGGATACTATAGGATTGAAAAACCCACTAAGAGTAATAAAATAAACTCACAGGATGGGCTCAGCATCTTAGTGGTAAGGTTCGGCAGAGCTTTGGAAGGGTGTGGGGTGGGCTATGGTTAGGGTTAGCAGAAGAGTGGGGGTGATAGAGGATAAAATCAGTACACTGAAGGACTGATCAGTATACATCACCCAGTGAGTGACTGGAAGAAAACATTGATAGAAAGGTACACAAAGCCTCCCAGACTTGGGGAACAGCAATGAGACCCAGAGTGAGGATTTTTAACAAATTTCCTGGATGGTCTCTCCCTCACGCAAACCACTCCTACAGGGACACATTTCTAGGGATGCTATTTTTAAAGATGAAAGAAAATCCCTGCAAAAAAGCATGCTTTTGTTTACCTAAGATTCTCCTAGAATTGGAGATTTCTATCATTTCTAGCATTTTCCTCTGCTCACCATTACTCTGTTACATGCATTTTAAACGTTTTCCCTCTCTCATCTTTTAGGAGTAACTGTGCAAAAGGATAAAATTAAAGGCAGATCAACTGGAGAGAAATTTTCTATAAAGTGATAAAAGATGCTACTTTTAAAACATAAAGAAACTGTACATACGCAGAGAAGACAATAAGCAATACTGTCTTCTTTCAGTGTACTGATTTTCTCCTCAATAGAAAAAAGATAAAGGTATGTTGAGTGTCCTGACACCTCTACCCTTCTGAATTCTGGATTTACATGAAAAGCCTCCCTTCATTTGCAGGGCTGGGAATTCAACCCAGAGTTTTGCATTGAGCCATAGACCCAGCCCTTTCACTTTTTATTCTGAGACAGCGTCTGACCAAGTTGCTATGTTGCCTAGGCTGGTTTCCTGCCTCGGCTGAGAGTGCTGGGATTGCAGGCATGAGCCACCATATCTGGCTAAAAAAGCCCCTTTTCACCAGTGACCCTTTTCTTGCCCTCGTCCTCTTGAATACTTTTTTTAACCTGCAGCCACAGGGCTGTTCAGGCTTCAAATTCCATTTGTTCATTGCTGTCCTGTAGGGAAATACTTGACTTTTTATTTTAACATCTCATTCCTCAGCCTCGTTCTAATCTCTTATTAGTTCCGGGAGACTGCTTTGGTGGAGTCGATTCCTTTAGGTTTTCTCTGCGGTGATTGTGTCACCTGAGAACGAAGACGGTTGTCCCTCTCCTCCTTCTCCCTTCATCCCTCCTGTCCTCTTCGTGTCTCCCTGCACTTGCCAGGACTTAGAGTTAGGGTTAGGGCTGGGGTTAGGGTCAGGGTTAGAGTTAGAGTTAGGTGTTAAGCATAGGGTTAGAAGTAGGGTTAGGTCAGGGTTAGAGTTAAGGTTATGCTAGTTTTAGAGTTATTCTTAGGTCATGGTTCAGGTTACCATTTAGGGTTAGAGTTAGGGTCAGGGGTTAGGGGTAGAGTTAGGGTTAGGGTTAGGTCAGCATAGGGTTAGGGTTATATGTTTGTTAGAATTATTGTTAGGCCTGGTTAGGGTTAATGCTAGCGGTATGGTTTGGCAGGGCTTTGGAAGGGTGTGGGGTGGGCTATGTTTAGGGTTAATGTTAGCAGTAAGGTTAGGCATGGCTTTGCAAGGGTATGGGGTGGGCTCTCCATGCTGTTCTGCTCTCTACGGAGACCTGAGCTCTGTGCTGTCAGCTTGTTCTTGCTGCTGTTCTCCACAGTGACAGGGTTTCCTCTTTCCTCATTTGCAGGTAGTTTTTACCTAGAATACAAACTGGCTGTTCCATTTCATGAGATGTCGTTTCTGCACTTGCTCCTGTGATCATGCAATGTTTCTTTGCTAGATATTTGTTGGGGTGGTTTGCAGGGATGAGTGACAGAGTGTTGACACAACACTCTCTTGGCTTTGAAGTTATCTTGTGGTTAGCAAACCTGTTTATAAAAGCAGAAGGCCCGGAGACTGTTGACACGGTTGGGTTTTGATACATTTTGAACACAAAAGTTCCTCTACAAGGTAACAGTGTTGAAATGGAGTGGCGGCAGATTAACGGCTCCCAGGGGCCTGGGATGGAGCATGCATGAAAGGATAACTCTCAAGACCCCTTGGTGATGTGGCTTTCTTGGGATAAATGCAAGAGTCTGCATAGGGGAAAACATTCCGTGAAACTAATTCCTGCGGGTGCGTGCCCACACACGTATGGGTGGGGCTGAGAACTCTGAATAAGGCAGTGAGTTCCACCAGTGTGAGAGGCCTGGCTGGGACACTGCCCTATAGTGCTGTGAGATGTTCCCATCGGGAAACCCAGTGAGAGGTGCACCAGGCCTTTTTGTTATTTCTTACAAATGCATACAAATCTACAATTACCTCAAGATAAAAATTTAAACGTTTAACAGGATACAGGAGCCGAATTGAAGACATACCCACTGATCACAGGTAGGGTAATTTGAGCATAAAGTAATAAAGACAGGTGTGGTGGTGCATGCTCGTAATCCATCCACTCTGAGAGGCTGAGACAGGACTGTAGGTTCAGCCTATCCTGAGCAGCCTAGTGACACCTTCCCTCAAGATCAAAAGCAAAATAAAGCATGGTCTCTGCTCTATGAGAAACCAAATTAGAAAAAATTTAAACAGCAAAATGAAAGATAGATAATAGGAAACAGGGAGATGGATCTGCACATGGGAAGGAGCCAAGAGACAGAAGGAGTAGGGACCACCACAGTGTCATGGGGTGGTAGAGCATTTTCAGCTCCGTTATACCCTTAGGAGACCACCATCGTCCAAGTGGCCCTTGGTTGACTGGAGTGTCATTATGTGCCATATGACTATAATTTATTTATAGCATCGGCCACTCCAACAGTACGGAGGGTATTACTCACACTTGCCAAGAGACAGCAGCAAGTGTCCCCCTGCTCTGTGGGACATTAGAGTGTGTGCCTAAGCACCAGAACCAATTCTCATAAAACTAAATGGCCACAGTTGACTGCTAGAATAAATCAGCCGGGCACAGTGCCGTAAAGTCAGGTCTACCAGTGCAAAACCAAGACAGACGTGGTCTCCAGCCACACTAAATAAGTGCAAAAGAGTTGTTACGGTTCAGATGGGAAAGATCCCAAAAGTCTCCTGTGTGTGCAAGGTGCTTGGGTCATGGGGTGCAGTGCTCCCTGCGGGATTCATCCACCGAGGGGATCCCTGGGGTCTGCCCCAGACGAGGCCATTCTTGTCCCAGGTTCTCCCTCCCCTCTCTGTTCCTGGCTGCCACAGGCTGCGCACCTTTTCTCCACCATGCCTTTCCGTCTGGGAGCCAACCACGGGCTGAGACCGAGCGCCCAGAGAAACCTCTCCTCCTCTAGGTCGTGGCTGTCCAGCGTTTTGTTCCAGCCACAAGAAGGCAACAGAAGCATCCCTCACTTTCACTCCCGTCTGTGCGATCCAGCAAGGCTCTCAGCAACAACCAGAGAAACCTCTGCTCCATCTCCCAGGCGTCTCGTTATTCCCAGAACACACATTCAGGCTGCGCCCGCTCCCCACACCTCTGCCCGGGCCGCCCTGGGGAGAGGAGGTGTTCCCCGCCCCTGCCTACCTCCAGAGAACCTGTCTCTCATCGTATGTTACCTAAATTGTTTCTTCAGCTCTGCACTTCCTCTTCCCTACAAGAAGATGAGCGCTTCCGAAGCAGAGACTGCCATGCTGACTGTTTTGTGTTTTTTTTTTTTTTTTTTTTTTTTTTTTTTTTTTGGTTTTTCTCCGGTACCGGGAACCGAACTCACGACCTTGCGCTTGCCAGGCAGGTGCTTTTGCCGCTGAGCTAAATCCCCAGCCCTCATGCTGACTGTTGTATCGAGAAAAACAGCACAGTTGGAGACCTTTACAAATATATTATTAATAATAATAATAACAGAAGCCAGGTGTGGTGGTGCATGCTTGTAATCCCAGCAGTCGGAAGGCTGGGGCAGGAGGATCGCTGTGAGTTCAAGGCCAGCCAGGGATACAAGGTGAGTTTAGGTCAGCCTCATTACACAGTGAGACCTTTTCTCAAAATAATAACAATAATAATAATAATATTGTTATATATATAACTATATATAGTTTATATAACTATAAAAACTGGCCTCTCAAATTTTTAAATGTAAAATGAAGCAGTGATACAGAGCTATTTTCTATAAATCTATCCAGGCTCTAGTAAGTTACTGCACAGAGGGACCACATCACATCAGCTTCGGTGCTGCGCTGGCCTGGTGACTGTCCCTAAGACAGCCATCCAACTGGGACCTCGAAGTAGAGTTCCCGCAAGGGGCAACTCAGAGAAGCTGCAGTCCAATGTCAACCTAATCACCCCTCTGCGGTGAGAGTCCAGATTTTTGACAATACTCCTCCAAAAGCCTGTTTTCAAGACTCAAAACTAAAATGTTAAAAGTGCAATTCGGCACAGGAGAGGAGCAGCCCCTGAGCGAAGCTGCAAGGTAAGCATGCTCTTGCTGTGACCTCACACAGCAATCAGAAGGGCAGGAAACGGGGAACTTATAAAAGTGAATGTGATCAAAACTAACCTAACTCATCCTATGATCACACAGCACTTTCAAGATTTTAAATTGCTACACGGCCTGAAAGTTGGAAGCTGATCATTAATGCAGTGGGTATCCCCCCTTCTGAGTTGGACATAAGAACAAATGGGTCCCACGTCCTTGGAGAAACGTCCCCTTTCCAGGTCCCTGCAGGCTCATGAGACACCCACCAGGAGACAAGAAAAGACCCCAGGATAACACCACGAAATCATTTCAAAAGACACCAGATGAGAGAAGTCTTCAGCACACCACCATTGTTTAAGAAAGAAACTGCAAATATTAATAAGAACAGATCCCGCAGGAAGCAGATTTAAGAAGTGAACGGACCACAGGCCAAACTCGCAATGCGGAAATTCCTCCCGGTGAAATTCGCCTTCATCCTCTTCATTTCAGCTTATCCGCTGCAGGGCTGAGCAGCCTCACCGCCAAATGGGGACAAAATCACAAGACAAAATGCTCACTGCTGCTACATCTGTTTACATGCAGCCCCTGTCATAAGCACCAGATGCACCGAGAAAACACACTGGATTTTTCCGGGCACTGTCCATCTTCCTGGAACCATGCCCCTCTGCTCTGAAACTCGCCACCTTCCCAACAGTCCTCCACCCTCAGCGTTATGGTTCTGAGAGTTCACTGCCCCAGTGACTCCAACAACCCCCACCCTGCCTGGCTGTCCTCTAACCAAAGGGTTCAACACACCACAGTAATGAGAGAACCCTGAGAAATGAATTTAAATCAACATAAGAGAATGTCATGTAACCCAAGGGCTATGCCAATTATGTTAAACAATTTAAAAGATTTCTCCTTAGTATTGTGTGTGTATGATCTCTAAGACTCTCACTTGTTCCAGCTTACCTTCTGAATGACCTTATTAATCGCTGGGATGTCTGGTGCATAGAGTATTTGTCCGTGTAATATGGGTTTGAGGAAGGACCACACCAATGCGCCGTTGGGAGACTGCAGAATTTCCTCATAAAGCTTCAGGCAAAATGGTGCTGTTGATATTCATAGAGAGAGGAAATGTGTTACATGATACAGGATGATACAGAGGGGCCAGGGCAATGGCAAAGCTTGTACACACCCACGCTGCCTGATTCACATATATTCAGACACAGGTGCTGTGACCCAACTCCCTGAAGGTGGGAGCAAACCCGGAATATCTTTCTTGCCCCTGGTTCCACGGCTCTCGTCCCCTAAGAGATGTCAGGGGGCTGTGTTGTCTTCCGTGAGCTGCAAAGGCTACGGCAAAGAGCTTCCCTTCTCAAGCTAAGTTATTCATGATGGTGATGATGCAAACACTTGAAAGGGAAAAAGGTAATGATTAAAAAAAAAACCAGCTTGTTAATTGAGAAGATTTTCATTTCAGCACCCATGATATTGAGAACAGAATTCAACTTTCTTACAGAGTCCACTTTCCAAGTTGCCCCTACATCTTTGCTGCCTCTATGCAGAACTGTCGAATGTGTCCCTGTGGATGAATCAGAACCTTATTCTCACCCAGAGAATCCTTCGCAGGGGCTTTCATCATGGTGAGGCTTCCTGACATCAATGAGGTGGTCTAAATCAGCAATGGCAAACCTACGGCGTGCGTGCTGTGGTGAGCCGTTTGTTATCATTGAGAGCTCTGCCACCACTGGTCTAAATGAATAGGTAATTCCTCACCATAGTGATTAAAAATAAAAATACTGTAAGACTTTGCAAGGTTTTCAACAAACCACAGATGCCTCAGTATAAGTAGTCCTTTTACCCACAGAGAATATTTAACATGGAAATATTATCTTAGCTTTCATATCACGACCCATAATATCCACTATATGAGGAGTACTGTTTCGATCCCAAATTCTCCACTTGAGCAGAAAAAAAATATTACAAATACAAGAAGTTGATAGAAATAATCCCCTAAAATATAAATTAAGAACATGACTACATTTTTAAAGCATTAATTATAAAGGTTGCACTATATTTTAACAATTTATTCTTTAAATTGCAAGCTTAATACAGACCAACGGCAATGTTTATTTTAGAAAGTATATGGCCGTGATGTGCACAGAGCAAGGAATGTGAAGCCAGGACTCTGCATGTCTGCCCTTTGCGAGGCACACGAACCTGGATAAGTGATATAATGTTCTCTGAGGTCCCAACAGGTCTTAACAGTGTCTGTGAAAGACAGATGAAATAAATGTATGAAAGGACCAACAGAGATTGGTCCTCAGTGTTAGCTGGATGACTGGATGAGTGGGGGGATGCTTGGATGGATGCATGCATGGATGGGTGAGTGGCTGCGTGGGCGCGTGGATGCCTGAGTGGGCAGATGAATGGATAGGTGGAGATGGGTGGATGGATGGATAGACGGATGGATGGGTGGATGCATAGATGGGTGACTGGATTAAAGGGCAATCAATCATGCTCAAGAATCTCAAATCCAAAATAAAATGAGAACTAAATAACCCAATAAACTACTCAATATGAATAGGCTCAGTGAGTATCTATATTACCAAATCACCTGATATTCCTCAGCTATCCAAATTATCCCTTAGCCAACAAATGCACTGACCTGCCACCTCTGCAGGGGACACTGTATCTGACTCCACTTCCTGTACCTCCAACCCACCATTCCAGGCTCCTGCTCCCAACCACAGCTACACTTCTACCCTCAGTTTCACTGTTGGCACAAAGCTGGTGAAAATGTGCCCCGGGTGTGGCAGGCACAGTTCTAAGATGACCCCAGAGTCAAGACCTTGTTTATTCTGTTTTTGAGAAAGGACACAAGCTGTAAATATGGCACATGCCACACCCAGGATTAGATCTCACAGCCAAGGAGGAGTCATGAAAACGTAAATAAAGTACCTTAGCCTGTTGACTTGGGAGTTTCCCTGAGGGCTGAACAATCAGCTATCCTGGCTGAGCAGCCATGTAAACCCTTTAGAAGAGACTGCAATCCACAGAGGCATAGACATGCCCCTTCTGGCCTTGACATGGTCTCCAGGAGCTCTAGAGCTGCAAGAAAAAGACTCCTACCGGCAGCACAAGAGAGCCTCAGGCGAAAGCCCAGCCACCCAATGCTCCATCACAGCTGGCAGTGCCTGGGAGCTGCCCTGCGGAAGCCACGAGATGGGACCGTGCACTGTCTTCAGCCCCTGAGTGAGTGGTGATGTGCTATGCAGCAGGGAATGCACTTAAACCATGTGCCAAGCAGCTAAGACGCAGCCTCTCCGTTACTGCTCACGGCAACCTTGTGAGGTGGGGATGGTTTCCATGTTACAGATGAAAATGACACGGCTCAGAGACATGAAACAGCAGGCACACTTGTCATTCATTGGAGAGGTGAGCACTCTGGACCCAAAGTCCTCATTTCCACACTTAGTCTGTCTTTCTAATAAAATGGGTTCACTGAACTGGGGTATGTTTCAGTGTATCACCTGCCTGGCAGGTGGAAGGCCTGAGGTTCCATCCCTAGTATCACACTAGATAGATAGATGATAGATACATAGATACATAGATAGATGATAGATAGATAGATAGATGACAGATAGATAGATAATGGATGGAT